AAGTCACCGCGAGGTCACGTGATTCCCCAGGTCACGTGACCCCCAAGGTCACCTCAAGGTCACGTGACCCCAAGGTCACGCGACCTCCAGATCACGTGACCCCTCCCAAGGTCACGTGACCCCTCCCAAAGTCACGTGACCCCTCTTAAGGTCACGTGACCCCTCTTAAGGTCACGTGACCCCCCGAGGTCACGTGGCCCCCCTCCCCGAGGTCACGTGACCCCCCCTCCCCCCCCCCCCGAAGTCACGCGACAGCCCCCCCCAGGTCACGTGACCCCCTCCCCCGAGGTCAAGTGACCCCCCCGGAGCATATTAAAGAATGAGGGGAGGAAGAGGAGAAGGAGGAGGAAGAGGAGTCTACCCTCCCCTCAGTACCCTTCCCTCCTCCTCCTCAAGAGCTGCGCTCCAATTCAACGTTACAGGGAGTTGTAAACGGCTTTCACTTTTTATGAGTGCGATAGGTTTTGCGTTCACCGAGATGATTAGAGATATAGGGAGTTTTCGTAGGCCGCGTTTCCTCCTCCACTAAGCCCTTCGCAGCGGAAAAGCCGCTACTACGCCTGCGCACTTATCACCTTAACTGTAGAGTTCCGGGTATGGTAACGGCGAAAACGATCTACACTCTAAGAAAAAATGAAGGGAAAAGGTAGCAACGCGTACACTCTAGCAAACGGCGCGTCTTCCTCTCTTCTACTGACGCGCCCCTAAGCGGACACGAGAAGAAGGGAGGAATGAAACGTTTTTCTCCTTCTCCAGGCGGACGGGAGAAAGCTTTCGCCCTCTCGACTCATCTTCTTTCGGTTTTGTTTTTTGAGCACGTCTCGCACGTTGTTTAATAAATGTTGTTGAGTTGATTGAGCTTTAGGCGGCAGCGAAAAGTGCATGTAATTCCGTCCTCTAGTCTAAACGTGCAGAACATTTCGGTTGCATTGAAGTTTTTATCACTCATTTTATCCAACGAGGAAACGAAGCAGCTAGAAACAGTGAAGTTCCGGAGCAGTGCCAGCAGCGCTACGTGCACTGGGTAAGGCGACCGTCTCCGGATTGCGGTGCCCACGCAGAACCACAGTAGCGGAACCACGCGGAACAGTGTCGACGTTTTCGACGTTATGGAAATCGCAGGAACTGCGTCCAAGACAGCCAGGTTTTTCTGCCGGCTGCCTGGGTGCCTTCCGTGCTGAGTTCGGTTCTGTTTTCCAATGCCGAGTGCCAACCGGCGTTCAACGTGGTTCTGTGTTTCTGCCTGTCAGCAACATAGCAGGAACATTGTGATGGCAGTGTTGTGAGCTGAAAACAGAATGGAATTATCGCCGATGTGACCGTGTGCTCGCGTATCAGTGGTGTAACACCAAGATGAGATGACGTAAACTGTCGGGCATTGATGCCGCTGGTCGGGCTGTGATCGGAGGGGGCAGAGTGTCGCAGGTTGACATTCCGCTTTGCAGTAAAGAGTTTAAGACCACTTGAAGGATTAGGTGCTGTTGTGTCGCGCCGAAGCGCCAAAGAACAGAAGCTCCCACGCAGAGCAACAGCACACAAAGAACAAATTTAATATGGCGAAGACACATTTTACAGGGCAAAGACCAGCGCACCCTGGTGGTGAGAATAGGAACCTGTGACATTGCTTTATACATACACAACACTCCTCCACACTTACATAATGGAACACTGGTACACCAGTCTATTTGGAGGGCGTCGAGCTCTGCTCGACCGTCGAACTTCCTGAGCAGCTAAGCCACTGCCAGCATTCAGTGGCATAGGCACCTCACATTCGCCCGGTTCATCAACATGCTCACTGTCACTCGATCCACTCTCCGAAGAGGCTGATCGGGACGAGCCCTCACTTCGAAAGCGCAAGTGATCAGCATGCACATAACGAATCTGGCTAGCCACCCGCACCAGGTATGTAACCGGACTGATTACTTTCTTTAATATGCCTTTGGTCCAGTTTACTCTCTCCCCCCTCACATTTCTGACCCAAACTCTGTCGCCCACTTGAAAGAGTTTCGTTGGACCTCTGCGCTTGTCAGCCAGCTCCTTTTTCTTGTTTTGCTTCTCTCGTCGTGGAAGGGACGTTGCACCTGGCTTGAGCTGTGACAGTCGGGTCCGCGGAAGCCGTCCCAGGAAGAGCTCTGCAGGTGCCTTTCCAGTACTTGTGTGTGGTTTCGTCCGGTAGTCAAGTAGGAAACACGACAACTTCTCATGGATATTCCTTCTCTTCCCTTGGAGGTCGTCTTCAAGTACCTGCTTGAGCAGCGCTCGCTTGACTGTTTGCACAGCCCTCTCCGCGGCGCCATTCGAAGCCGGGTGGTAGGGTGGCGTCATGGTGTGCACCACTCCTTGATCCTTCAAAAAGTTCTTGAACTCCTCACTTCGAAACTGGGGGCCTCCATCAGTCACCACTTCTTCGGGTAGTCCAAACTGTGCGAAGACAGCCATAAGTTTCTCGACTGTCTGGGGTGCGGTTGTGGAAGACATGGGCAGGACCTCAACCCATTTAGAAAAACTGTCAACCAAAACAAACAGGTTGGTTCCCGACTTGGTTGCAAAGTCCAAATGAACACGTTCAAAGACCCGCGAGGTCATTTTCCATGGCTGGAGTGGTACTGGAAGAACGTCGTTTTGGACCGCTTGGCAGATCTCGCATGACTGCACCTTGTTCTCGATCATGGCATCGATTCCGGGCCACCACACATGCCCTCTCGCAAGTTGTTTCATACGCACCATTCCTGGATGTTCTTCATGCAGGCTCTTGAGGACTGCAGCCTGTAGTGCCTGTGGAATCACGACTCTAATCCCCCAGAGTAGGCAATCTTGGTCCGTTGACAGCGTTTCCCGCCTGTGCCAGAAGGGTTGCAACCCTGGATCTTGCGCGGATGTTGGCCAACCTCTCTTGGTGTGTTCAAGGACACGTTGCAGCAAGGGGTCGCTGAGGGTCTCTTTCCCCACATCAGAACTTGAAAGAAGCGGTTGCTCTGTGGGTGAAAAATATTTCAACATACTTTCCTCTCCTACAGTTGTTTTCAGAGGAAGTCTCGATAGGGCATCAGTATCTCCGAGCTCGCCGCCCTTGCGGTACAGGATCTTGAAGTTGTACTCTGCAAGTAACAAGCGCCACCTCTGGATCCTCGCAGCAGCTATGGCTGTGGTAGAATACTTAGGTCCCAGGATCGACGTTAGCGGGTAGTGGTCAGTTACGAGGGTGAACGAACGCCCAAAGAGATACCGGTGGAATTTCTTGACTGCAAATATGAGAGCCAAGGCCTCTCTTTCCACTTGTGCGTAGTTCTTTTCAGCCACAGTAAGCGTCCTAGACGCAAACTCCACAGGTCTGTAGTCCCCGTTTCCCATGTCTTGTGTTAAGACTGCTCCGAGGCCGTAGCTGGATGCGTCGGCCGTCACTCGAAGTGGTAGACTAGGGTCGTAGAGGACAATTACCCCAGCACTGCACAACTGATCTTTGCTTCTGTCTACAGCCTGTTGGCATTCTTCCGACCAATGCCGCTTCTTGTCTTTCTTTAAGAGTTCATACAAAGGTCCCAGTGTGGCAGCTAAGTCTGGGAGGAAACGAGCATAAAAAGCTAGCAGCCCCACAAATGCCTTAACCTCCGTCACGTTACTCGGTGCGGGTGCCTTTTTGATAGCCTCTACCTTCTCAGGGCATGGCTTTAAACCCTGGTCACTCAACAAATATCCCAAAGAACGCACTTCGCGTACAAAAAATTGACACTTGTCCTGATTCACACAAAGGCCATTTTCCTGAAAGCGTTTCAACACTTCCAAGACTCTCTGGTTGCAGTCATTTTGGTCTACGCCACCCACCAGTACATCATCAAGATAGCACGCTACCTTGGTCAGGCCCAACAAAATCTTATCCATTACACTCTGGAAAATTGCTGGTGCGCTCGAGACTCCGTAAGGCATACGTAAAAACTCAAACAATCCTAGGTGAGTGGTCACTGTGAGCAGTTTCCGCGACGCTTCGTCAAGGGCTAACTGCAAGTATGCAGTCTTTAGATCCAAAATAGCAAAGATGCCACACCCCCGAAAGTTGTTGAACACCTCATCTACCCTCGGTAATGGGTAGTGATCCACCGTCACCTGTGGGTTTACGGATACACTGTAGTCACCACAGATGCGAACTTTACCCCCTGGCTTGGGAACCACAACAAGGGGTGTTGCCCATTCACTACTTTTTACAGGCCTCAAAATGCCCTGCGCCACCATTTTCTCAAGCTCACTCTCTACTTGCTCTCTGAATGCGTATGGCACCACTCTGTGTTTACAAAACACCGGTTGAGAGTTTTCTTTCAGTACAATCCTTGCCTGAAAACCCTTTATCGGCCCCACTGGACCTTCAAAGACGCTAGGGAACGACCTTTTCAGCGAGTCTGTCATCGTCTCGTTCTCAATACGACCTACGCCCGACCAGTTAATTTCTAACTGCTCGATCCAGTCTCTGCCTAGAAGAGCTGGCAGCTGGGCATTCGCGGACTTTACCACAATCAAAGGTAACTTTTCGCTAGGTAGCTCCCCATTTTTTACATTAACGCTCGCTACACCCTTGATTGGCACTAGAGCCCCGGTGTACGTTCGGAGACGCATGTCACTCGCCTCAAGGGGCACGTGAGAAAAAAAATTCACATACATTCTATCTGGCATCAAAGTAACTGCTGAACCAGTGTCGATTTCCATCGTCACCGGTCTTCCTTCGATTTCCAAAACCTTCTGGAATGCCGCAGACGCGTCATTCTTCCGCATACAGGTTACGCTCCAAGGTCCGCGCTTGGTGTTCGAAGTAGGCTTAGGCTTGGCCCTACACACCGCCTTAGTGTGCCCCTGCTTCCCGCATTTGAAACACTTTGCTTTCGAAAACGGACACTTCTCGGAAGCATGCACGGTACTAGCGCATCTAAAACAAGGGCCTACCGTACGCTGATACTGGACCTGTGGCGATGCGGTGGCGGAAGGTGGACACCCGGAGTGTCCTCCACCATCACCTTGAACGCGGTGCACGTCCATTGAGTCCGGAACGCCGGGCTGTCGTATCTCGTCCGTTTTGCGCAGAGAAAGTTCTTTGGCCAGGCCCACCTTTAGAACTTCGTCGAAGTAATCGTCGTCGAGCTGGATGAGTGTCCGCTGTACCTCAGGGTCGCGACACCCCGCCACGAGCCGGTCCCGAAGAGCCTGGTCGAGGTAGTCCTTGAACACGCATGTCTGGGCGAGCTTCTTGATAGCCAAGGAGAAGTCCGCTAGGCTCTCGCCGACCTCTTGATTTCTCCAATGGAACTTCGTGCGCTCTGCAATGACTAAGCGCTTGGGCGCGTAGTGGCGTTTCAGCACCTCGGAAAGTACGTCGTACGATTTCGATACCGGCGAGTCTGGGACGAGCAAGGTTTTCAGAACCTGGTATGACGCTTTCCCGATGTAGTTCAGCAGCGTCACGGCCTTGTCTTCCGTCTTGACAGCGTTCACTCGAAGGAAAATCTCGAAGCGTTCGAGATACTCGTCGACGTCGTCCTCCTCCGGCTTGAACTCCGTGAACTTCGGCATTGTGCTGTTTGCCACGTTGTTACTCGGTTCGTTCGATCTTCCATCCGAGCCTCGTCGCCATTGTTGTGTCGCGCCAAAGCGCCAAAGAACAGAAGCTCCCACGCAGAGCAACAGCACACAAAGAACAAATTTAATATGGCGAAGACACATTATACAGGGCAAAGACCAGCGCACCCTGGTGGTGAGAATAGGAACCTATGGCATTGCTTTATACATACACAACAGGTGCAATCGATTGACGTGCGGATGGTCATGTTCGAACGCTGGTCTAAACAGTGAGCTCGTATCGTAGAGTGGCCAATGTGACTGTCGGTTGCCTCCTCCCCGAGAGTGATTGCTCTCTGGAAAAAGGACTGAACAGTAGGAAGTTATGACGGAAATAGGTATATTTACAGTGTGAAATTTTAGCATTAAAAAAGAATAGTAGGTAAAATCGAAAAAAAAAAAGGTACCCTTTATTTGCTGTTTAAACATACCACGGTTACTGGAGAAACTGCCCTCCAAGTAGAGCGCTGGGATGAGCGCAGGAATTTTTCGAGCTCGCCACGGCGTAGCTCCGTACACTTTACACCTGCCGCATGTCGCGGCTTTGACTACATTGATCGAAAAGCGATTTCTCTCTCCGTGAAGCATCACTTCGAGCTGAGTGAACATCCGCTCTACAGAGGTTAATTCTAAGACGGCAATAGCAGCCGTGCGCGAACAGCAAAAATAGAAAAACAAACACTACAATAGAAATGCAGGCTACGACGTGCCGTCCGGGGAAACAGACTCATAGGTTCGAACCGCATTGGAGTGACTCGATTTATTGGCTTTCGAATAATTACGCCATGATCGAGCGTTTACTTTTTAATAAGAGATTCATCCTCTAAGCCATCCAAAATACTCTCAGAGGTAGGACATTGCTGGAAAAAAACCAACATGATGGGAATATATGTTTTATTGCTGAGGCAGTCACCGAGAAGTTCCGTACGTTCAAAACGACCAGTATAAAAGACGGAAACGCAGAACCCGAGTGTCGTGTTCGGGTTAGTGTGCCGTTGTATTGATGTTTGTATGTGCCATGCATGTGTATGCGTTCAGAGTATGTTCACCTGATGCTTGTATAGTCGGATGCAACCTAAGAACAATGTTTTAGCTCCACCCACAAGCGCATTGCGCCCATCTGAAGTGCGTTCGCCGTCGAGAAAGTAGTTCGCTAGCAACGTTGCTTTTTCTTCCTCCAGGAAACGTGTCTTAAACTACTACAATATTTATTTAATTCATTCAGGACATTTAAATAATTTAGAATACGTTTTTGTCAACGAAATAGCTGTTTAGTAAAGAAAGAAAGTCATGTCCAATGTACCGTCTTCCCAATTCATTTTCTGTCCAAGATACTGTCTAACATACCGTCTAACATACCTCTCAGCAGTGCTAAGCCTCGCGCCCGCTTCGAAATTTTCGTTGGCGATAGCGTCGCTGGATTCTCACGTTGTCGCGCAAAAACTGCTGCAAACGCAAGCCGATACCATTAAGATTTCGTGGCGTAACCTCGGGCACGTAAAACACGGTGCAAAAAAGCAGAATAATTGTCACGAGAAACTAGCGCCGCGTTGCTAAGGCCAGCAGCCATGTTGGGCTTTTCTTTTTTTTTCAAAAGGATCGCGATTGGTCCACGGAATCGTGACGTCATGAAAACGATTGGCTGGCGTTTCTCGGCGTAGGATTACATTTTCCTCTGAGAGGCATTTCCGGTTTTTTCTTAGCTTGCAACCGACTATAGTATGGTTAATGTGTCTGCATATGCACATTGTAGAGGTTCCCAAGGCGCATGGCGACCTGAGGAAATAAAAAAATTTTGTAGAACATGAATTGGGTGGTACCTAGCGCCACCTAGCCTAGCTACTTGCAATTACTCTGCTTGATCCTGCCATCCGGTAGCAAGCAATCTTTCACACTACGCGATAAACAGCGGCTTCTAGTTTGTTCTTTTGAGAGCGGCTTTTGGTTTCGCGGATTGGTTTGCCATCCCTCCGTGATGTGCGGTTGACGAAGGAATATTGTGACTCGAGGAACAGCAACGGTGAGGCGTAAAGTGCGCGAAGTAACTGGGTATCGGTTGTCTCCGTTTAACATCGCAGTGCTGATGACGAGAAGACTGAGTAACTGCTTCGAAACGCAAGTTTCTGAACCTGCGGGGGGATCTGGCTTAGAAAATAAACACACTTCGCGGAAAGCTCGTGTTACGCTTTTATTTGCTGCTCCTCTCGTCCCGTACAAGAGACGTAGCGTCCTCGTTACACCTTATTGAGCTCGATTTGCTCGATTCAGGGCCGCCATAATGAGATGCAGGCGACGGAGGAACTATTTGCTCCCCTGCTTCAGAGACTAAAGTTTCTCCCTCTCTGACGAACATTGGTTAAAAAACCGTTTGTAGAGTTGCAGTCGCGGTGCATAAGCGGTGTGCTACTACTGCGTGTAGAATGAACGAGGGGCAGCCATTTCCATTCCCTGGATTTATTCTTCCTCTTTCTCGTTTTCCCCGCTGCTATATGTGTTGCACGCGCACACATAAAATCCACATCACTACATCACTTCCCCCCAAGAAGCAGACAAATGACCAGAACGAAAGGCCCATTAAGAGCAGACGTAGTCCTTGAGTCGTGCAGGAGGGCACCTGGTACGGATCGGTCGCGATGTTCCTGGTGGATCAGGGGCAGGGGCTTCAACAGATCGGTCTCTTTCGTCCTCCCCCCGAACGAGGCGTTGCTCGGTTTCTCGATCAGTCGGGTCTGGAAGCGTTCCCCTGCAGCCATCTTGAGAGAGGTGGACATTGAACCACGCGTTGTCCGAGTCACAGTCACCTTCGGATCCTTTGCTCGTGGTGTGGGGCATGGGTTTAAAAAAACTAGCGTTTCTCGTTATTATGCCGTGATCCCGCCGTGCCGTAATCTGCGTCCCCTTGACATCGATGACCTGGTATGGCTTGGGATCATAGGCAGGGGTCAGCTTGTTTCTTTGGTTTTGTTTGGAGAGAACTTGGTCTCCCACAGTGAGGTTGTGAGGCCGGGCGTGCCTACGTTTGTCAGCGTATATCTTGTGTTTTGTGCGATTTTGGAGATCTGCGTCTTGCACCTTCTTAGGTGGGTTGTCATTGGAGCAGCTTGGGAGAAGATATCCCATGGACCTGCCGAAAAGCACATCAAAAGGTGGGGTTCCAGTTGCTGAATGGGGTGTTGCCCTGTAGGCCATCAAGAATTCGCCCAGCTTGGAGGTCCAGCTATTGTTTTCCAGTGTTGTCGCTTGTATGAACCGTTTCAATGTTCGCATGAATCTCTCCACTTCCCCATTCGCTTGCGGCCAGTGCGGTGTAATACGCTGATGGTGGAATCCTAGCGTGTGGGCGAATTGCTGGAAGTCGTGGCTCTGGAATGGGGGTCCGTTGCCCGTTTTGATCACCTTTGGAATTCCGAAGATGCTGAAGACCTTGGTGATGCTATTGATGACGGATTGGCTGGTGAGCGATGACAATATCTTTACGACAGGATAGCGGGACGTGTCATCCATAAGGACCATCAGGTATTTGCCGTTTGGAAATGGACCGGCGAAGTCAAGTGAGAGGGCTTCCCAAGGCCGACTGGGCTTTTCTGGAATGGCGATGGGGTCGGCATGTTGGTACTGAATGGTCGCTTGGCACGGCATACAGGTTTTCAGGGCTGTTTGCACTTTAGTATCGAGATGAGGAAACCAGACCTTCTGCTTCATGAGCTTGGTTGTCTTGGTTACCCCTTGGTGCCCCACATGTGCAAGAGATATGGCTCGTTGCTGGAGAGCGGCGGGTAGAACGAGACGATCGTACCTTTCAGCAGCAGGCCATTGTCTGCCACAGAGAGCTCGTGTTGTATTGACACAAAGTCCTTGAGAGCTGGGTTGCGCCATTTGGCAGGGCTCTTGAGGGCAGCGATCACTTCCTGTAGATGTTGGTCACTAGCCATGGCCTCAACTACTTCTGCGCTAGTCATAGCTTTTGGAAGATGGCATTGAGCAATAAGGTTGACATACGCATCAGTGGCATGAGCCAGGTTGGCATCAGCGGGAAGGTTTGGCAAGGGATGGCGAGACAAGTAGTCCGAAGGGTTGCTGCTTCCACGCGTATGTTCCACTCTGAAGTTATATTGCTGAATTCTCAGAGCGAGACGCTCAAGGCGTGCCGAGGGAGAGGCTCTTGGATTGGTAAGGATTGACACGAGTGGTTTGTGGTCTGTGTGGAGAAGAAATGTGTTGCCATATAGGTACAGGTGAAAATGCTCAACTCCCCATACCACAGCAAGTAGTTCACGTTCAATTTGGGAGTATCGTGATTCCGTGGGGGTCAAAGCACGGCTAGCGTACGCGACAGTTTCAATGATATTGCCTGTCTTCTGTGCTAATATGGCACCGAGTCCAACAGGGGATGCGTCAACTGTAAGAATGATCTCCTTTGTGCCATCGAAAAATGCGAGATTATGTACTTCAGAGAGTTTTCCCTTCAAGTTGTCCAGGGAAGCCTGCTCTGTTGGTCCCCAGACCCACTTGGCAGTTTTCTTGGTGAGGAGCCGAAGGGGGTTGTAAGGTCCGCGAGATTAGGAAGGAAGCGTCCGCTGTAGTTTACAGTGCCAAGCAGACTTCGAACCTCATGCGCGTTAGTAGGAGCTTCCATTTCCCTAAGTGCTGCAATCTTTTGGGGATCCGCAGTAATGCCAGAAGCGGAGAAGATGTGTCCAAAGAAGCACAGGCTCGTCTGTGCGAAGAGGCATTTCTTTGGGTTAACTGTGAGGCCCCATTCTTTCAACCTTACAAGTGTGGCCTCTACGGCCTGGTCGTGTTCTTGTTTTGTTTTACCAAACACTAGTATGTCGTCACTGATGTTGAGGACGTGAGGTATTCCATTAAGAACTTGGCGAATGGTTTCCTGAAAGACTTCGGCGGCCGCGTTAATGCCAAACATTAGGCGCTTGTATCGGTAGAGCTTGGTGTGT